TAAAAAAAAAAAAGAGTGGACCAAAAACAAAACAGCCGTATTCTCAGAATACGTTTTCTTAAAAAAAATTAATCAAGAAAACCTATTCCGAGAATACGTTTTTTTTCTAAAAAAAAGTAAAATGTATTTTTAAAAAAAAACGTTTTTTCTTAAAAAAGGCAAATAATAATTAAAATGTATTTTTATAAAACGTAATTTGAAAATACGTTTTTTTAGCAAACTGTATTATGAAAATACGTTTCAGGAGGAAAAAAAAATTATTTTAAGAAAAATAATATTTTATTGAATCGTATTCTGAGAATACGTTGTACAATTAAATTGTCGGTAAACGTATTCTGAGAATACGTTTTATACTTTTAATATAAAAAAAAATTCTCTTCCTCTCCATTTCATTCACGCAAAAACGAACAGAAACGAAAAAAAAGAAGCAAGAGGAGCGATTTTTCTGCGTGAAAAAAAAAAACTCGATCCAATCTTCATCCCGGCGTGAACCGACAACACCGGCACAAGTTTCATTTTCGGTTAATTCATTCGCACGAGGTATATTGTCTTATCTTTACTTTTTACATTATTTGCAGTTATTTGGAAATTGAGGATTGGTATAATATGTTTGAATGTGGTGGTATTTGAAGATTGAAAATTTCTAGTTGATTATGTGTGTATGTTGATTTGAGGATTGAAATTTTGTGTGTAAATTGTCAATTGTGTATTGTTTGGTTGTAGTTGGGGTTAGAGTTTTTCAAAATTAGGGGTTTCAATTTATCCGAATTATAGATGAATTTTATGTTATCTTCGGATTATGAGTTTAATGGTTTTGGATGATTATTTAATTGGGGTTATTTTTTGTTATTTTTTATTTTTTGTTGGAGAGTAAAAATTGAGTTTTTTTGGAAAAAGAATTGAAAATTGTTTATTTGCAACATGTATAAAATGGCCTATCCCGGTCCATACCTTGTTAATTTGTACTGACATTTTGGGAAGGAAATGTTAAGCGATTTTGTTTCATTTAAAAGCACAAAAGTGCAAAATGAACAAAATACAAAACCCCAACAGGGTAATTCTAAGACCCCAACACGGTAATGAGACAAGGGCCAACGGCCCAAACCAAAAACACCCTAAAAACAAACCAAAATGAAAGACTGAAAGGACACACACAAGTCGGCCTAGAGAACTCAATGAACGAAAATAAAGAAAAATGAAAAACATAGTCACTGCACATGCTTAGCCTGAATTCATCTCCAAACCAAAGACCAATCCAAAACACAGACTTGAACAACACAGACACTAAAAACAAGATGACAAGAACAACAAAAACTAACTAAGAAAATATAGAGCCATTCCCCAAACAGACAAGCAGGCCCGACCAACAGTGAACGATCGACACAAGAAAGCTTCAAAGCATGGGAAACCACTACCGAAACTGCGAACCCGCCTACACAGTAGCCGAATCGTAGCCCCGAAACAATTCCCGAATCCACCCGTTTTCCACCGAGAGAGAGAGAGAGAAAACCAGCCCTCGCCCCAACCCCACCTGAACCGTCTAACACCACTAGCCGTACAGGGTGGGAGGGTTTGGTCCCTCAACCCCGACCTCCATAGCCGGAAAAGCTGCAGTTGTCGGAGTCCCATCTCACACCAGGACTCCCGCTTCCCACGATACCACCGTAGAACACCGTCCACCAGACGTCCTGACCTCGCCAGAAGGGGCGAAATCCCGCCGTCGAAGAGGCAGAGCCCAAGAAACGCAGGCAAGAAGAATAATGAAGGGGCTTACCTCCTCCGGACCTAGCTTCACCGGCGATTGGGGGGAGAACCGCAATCGAAGGCCAAACATCGACCAAGAAGGGGGCCAACACCGACCGGGTCTCCATCTGCGATCTAAGACCAGAACTCTGAAGACCAATCTACAGCAACATCCGAGAAGAGGAACATCCGAGGTGGACGGGCGGTCGAAAACAATCCCTGGCCGAGACACCACTGCCGCCGAGGAAGGCAGATGGACGGATTTCTTAGCAGAGGGCGAGCGGAAATGGGCTAGGGTTAGAGCATCTCCAATGGCCTTTGGATTGTCCTACCTTGTTGCCACATGGCACAAAAAATCCTATGTGGCCTAAAAAAATTCTAGAAGTCTTTCTACATGTAGAAGTACTTCTAGACAACTTCTATTATATATTATATTACATATTCAATTTTTTTAATTTTTTTCAACCAATTATAAATTTACACATGTTATAATAAACAATCTTAAACATAATCCATTGGAAACACAATTTTTTAATCTCCTTTCTCCATGCTATGCAACTCAAAATAGACAACTTACCATTGGAGATGCTCTTAAATCGCCAGAGGAAAATTGGGCGTCTGTCAATTTGAGATGAGCCTTTTCACTCAGTCATATTTAAATCAACATTCATGAATAAATTAAAAGTCAATTATTTACCAAAAGTTACTCATGAAAACGCTGCATTTTGGATCACCTTTGGTTTATATCTCTCTCTCTCTCTCTTTTTTTTTTTTTTTTTAAATCAATTTGCTAATACAAGAAAATCTATCCAATATATTTATAAAAAAAAATTGTCAATTATTAAAATATTTTATGAAATATAATTTTAATAAAAATAAAAACTTAAAATATAATTTTAATAAAAAAACTTAAAATATAATAATACTAGCAATTTTTAACATGACCAAATACTTACAACTAATTTTAGAAAAAAAAATAGACACGTCTAATTTATAATAATATGTAGTTTTGCATATTATTATACAGTATATAGTTGTACAATGATAGCTAATTTTAATTAACTAATATTATTTGAATTTGATCTTCGAAATTAAGTTCTTGTATAATTCTTAATATATATTTTAATAAACTATTATTATTATTATTATTATTATTATTATTATTATTATTATTATTATTATTATTATTATTATTATTATTATTATTATTCAGC